AATACTGCAAACACGCTAAAAGCAGCAGCTTTTGCAAGACTTTTGTTCAACCCAATGAATTAATGCACGATTCTGTATAGTGACTTGCATTTCACAGCGATGCGTGTTCCAAGCCTTCTGTTCTATCTTCATGTGTGAGCTTAACCTTGAAGTGGGTAGTGGCCTGTCAGCGAGTTGCACATCTTTAGAGAATTATAACACGGACCGTAGTACCGAGGAATGTTCTGATCAGTGGCCGTCCCGAGAACGAACTGCGTACGCGTGTGGCATGGATACGGGCCCACGTCCTGGCCACAGTTGTACGAGCGGGATCAGACTGACCGCCGGCTACTAGGGCCCCACTTAGGCTGCCCGTCTGCTACCCCACATTTGGACCAAGCTTGTTGAGGTACCCGTCTGTCTGAGTGAGCCCGGGCGCGTCGCGGCCCTGATGAGGAGGGGTTTCTGCCGTTACGGCTGCCACTGCCAGCAGGCATGCCCAGTAGCGTGGCGGCTAATGGTATGACACGACAGGCAGCCATCTGGCGGCTGCTGGGTACATCACAAGTTCAGCTGGCTAGTATGTTATTCACTTCCGCGAGTGTGCTGTGCCAATTTGCCGGACAGCTTAACTTGTACCACGTGCATTGTGCTTGTATCTGTGAAATTTTTCGTTATCGATCATTGGAATTCCAACCGAGTGTTTTTCTTCTGCAACATAAGATTGTGTAGGCCGCTTGCATGTGTCAGCTTCCCTAAGCCCGATTCATTGGCTAATTGGTCTCAGAGACGTATGCTAATAAATATCATGGAACTTACAGATAGTGTCATCAATCCAGGCTAGCCAGTGGGTTCAATCTCAGGCCACAAATGGAGCTAAGACTCCCCAGGAATTTTGCCATACTCAGTTATGTTGCTTGAGGACGTAAGGGTCGTAAGGGCACCGTTGTGTATTTACAGGTGCTGTTGCCACATCGTGGTTATTCATCATATGGGTAAAGTGCCGCGCGATGAACAGTTTGTTTGTCTTTTCCTTGATATCGTCAGTGAAGAAATCCTTTCAAAGGCATGTGGCTGTGGGTAGGTTCTGTGAAGTACCAATTCATCGCCGCGAGTGTGGTGACAAGGCCGTGCGCTTGATTAGGCTGCTCCATTTTGAGCCTGACGCACATTGTGACCGTTCTGCCTGCAGGTCTGCAGGTCTCTCGGCCGCTGGTGACGTTCCATCTCCGGCCCAACTGGTCCGACGAATGCCTGAGTCCAGCCGTGCTGAACACGGACAGGGTGTGAGCCGCGCGCGCGCAGACCGCGGCTCGCGGCCGTCCAGCCCACAGCCGCGCTCTCATCACCGCCGGCGGCCAGCGCCGAGCATCGCTTCTGCGATCTCTGGAAAACACAGAGTTGGAGCGCGCTGCGCACCATCTGGCAGGGCCGCAGCGCTGCACCGGTGGTTTTCCTTCGAGACACTGACCGGCGACCTCTTGGCCGCTTCCGGCATCTCCACACCTTCGTCGAAGTGATTGGCTGGTCCCGATCGTGTCGTGGGAGTGACCCTCCGGGAGACCGGGTGTTACCGGCCACCGAGCGGCACGTGGCGCCCAGCCCTGCTCGGTACGGGAGAGTCGTGACGACGCTTGGCCCGCCTCCCGAGGCGTGACTGCCTGGTGACAGGCGACGCAGGCCCGCCGTGCGAAACACCCCTGCTACCCGGCTAACCCGACGGCGAGGTCGGATCAGTGCGTGGACCAGACTGGTGGCAGCGGAGTTGGCTGTCTGAGATGAGGGCAGAAGTTCGGTGCAGGCGTCTGGACGAAGGTGGATAGGGTGGCGCAGCGTATCGTGACTTTGGTGTGCTTAACGGCGCGGCTGAGAACGGCCTTTGCTCGGGTGTTGGGCTGCCTGCCATCTGTCCCCATGCAGGGTGCCAGTCACGTGACTGGTGAGGTGGGAGCGAGTGACGCCCCCCTGCCGATCAGTTTCCGTAACCGCCGCACTCTACGCCGAATGTGGCAATGAACCCACCCGTTGTAACCGTCGTAGTATAGCCGGCAGATTCTCACGCCCAGTGATCTTTTGACGTCATTATTGATCGGAAAGCTGTGGAGTGACGGAAGCTCGCGGTGTCCAGCGAAAGTCGATGAAGGAGGGCCAGCCAGCCAGACAGCTGAAACGCCCGCTGAGAGACTGCATGCATCATGCAGCAAGGAATGGGGGAGGGGGGCGGGGGGGGGAGATCGTTCGATCGGGGCTCGATTGGAGCCGATGCCAGACGTCTCTGAGTGGTTTAGAGACGCTGACTGAACAGCACACCAGCCAGACGCCGGACAGCACCGGTCTACAGCGCCCCGCGAACCCGTCGGCAAGACGTCTGTGTCACTGGCAGCAGGCTGGGCCGCGTGAACTTCACTTCTGCTTGCCAGTCTCATGTCACTGGCAGGTGTCGATGTTATTGAAAACTAAGCCTACCGTATCATCGCGTGCTTGCTGTGGATAAAAGCTACATACCTCAGTGCAATGTTTTGCGGTCAGAGCTTAAGCGTGAGGCGTGCGTCGGCGGAAAATGGGGAAGCGCATCATTGTGAGTGTTATTTATCTCAGTGACGTGATGCTGTTCGAGCTTAATTTGTTCAGCTCGCTTCGTTCTGCCCAGCTGACATTTGTATGAAATAAAATGTTATGCATTCGCAGGTCTCCATCACGTGCTTGGTAGTTGCAAGCCGTTTTTTCAACGCCATTACAATGGACGATATAGGGTCGTAGCAGTGGGTGGAAGATGTGGAAACTCGAAAGGAATTTGGCCCGATGACTTTTCTCAACGGCCCGGCAAGTTCGAATCCTAGATCGCATTTAACTTACGCAAACTGAATTATCATTGTCATCACAAGTTGTTTGAACATCAGCAATACACGGATTTTCATAACCTAAGTGATTCATGCATTTTAATGCAAAGATATGGTGACGGATGCCTCTGAACGACGAATGTAAAACGACCCCTCTGTCGTAATGCGCTTGTGCAAGATCGGTCACGGTGGCGTTTGCTTCTAAAGTATATAAATAATCCATCATCAAAACTCACTTGGGGTAGAGTCGGTGCGATCCTGGAGGCTTGCCAGCTGGCGAGCATCGCCTGAGTGAGGAAACCGTGCTGTTTTCTGCGTAGATAGTTATCGTGGCGACTGATGATGGTGAAGGCTTCGCGATGATATGAGCGTCAGGCTCCGAGATCCGAGCTGTCTGCTACTGCGCGTGAAGTTTTTCCTTTGCGTTTTTGAGCCGTCTGATCCTAGCTCAGATCACCACATTGCCATCTACACACCACAATCATCATGTCGAATCTATTGTCAAAGGTTCCAAATCGATTGAAGGAGGATTTCCGAGGACAAAAAGTCATGCTAAGCTTGTCTTTTGCTGGTCCCATCCGTCAATATCTTTCCGACCTTATTGGTTTGTAGTAGTTTGTTCCTTTTGTCCTCTGTGCTCAACTCTACACTCTTCATCTAAAGATGATCCGCGGCTGAAAATGTATGAACCTCTGCTCTTCTCTCTGTTTGGTGCCGTCATCTTTGCATCGTCTCCTCCACACCTAGAGGAGTCATGTATTGCTCTCACATCCGGATTTAACACTACTATTACTACCAATACCAACACTACTCTCAGGTCAAAGGCAGCAGTCAGGTGAATGCTTGACGATGCTGAACTGGCAACTTTGCGGTAGGTGCTGCATCAAGCTGTTGCCATATTGCAAAGTCCAGACGGGCTGAATAAAGAGGCAAAAAACTGCATGCCCACGACATCGGCTTTTCAAGAGATGATTGACACTGCTTTGCAAACAGAAAAAACGGAGGTAGGCTACATGTGAAGGAGTGCTGGCAAAGTCTTTAGGACACACCAAATGGGTCCGTATGAGTTGTTTCACCACCAGCGCCAGGTGGACACTCCCGAAGGATTCTTTACCTTGATCGGACGTGTTGCCGGGATGTATTTGGGACCACTGTCCACAGTTGCTAAGAAAAGCTTCATGCCAAGATTATGTCCGTAGCCATCAGACAACAGTCCCATGAAGCGAACAATTTCAGCCGAAGTATTTTGACATGTCATGTAACGTCCCCACACGGTCGCTCCATTCCAGCCTGGCGCTCTGAGCCGGGACTGATGGCCACTGACGGGTCACACCAGCGCGGGCTCTGTGATACGAGCACTCACGTCTGCAGTATGGTGAAGCAGCCCGTTCACGGCACATGTCATATTTATGCACGAGCTCAAGACGAATGCGGGTAGATTATGCTGCAATATTTCATTCGTTGCAAGACTATCCCTATCACGCACAGGCACAGCGTTGCTGTGAAACTTGAAGTAGCAATTGGTCATGTGCATGATCTGAGAGAGAAGTAACAGCAATTCACATGTAGCAGTTTGCTCGTTCTGTGCATAACAAAGCTCGATATGAAATGTGTTACGCTGAGCTTGAGGCTGTGATCAGCAAATAAGGTCCACAACTTTGGAAAGTTCATATATGCCAGGAAACAAAAAAGAAATGGCGTCTTGCTGGTCAAGGTTACTGAATCCAACAACTCAATGGTGTTACAAGGCCTACATAGCTCATGTGTGAGCTACTGGCGAAAAACATTTAAATATACCCACTCTGATCGCTCCTAATATTGCAGAGCATATGCCTGCATGACTAAACAGGCTTGTCGTCTATCACGGACGCGCATCCGCTTATTGAAGTCTAGAATTTTAGAAGCAATACTTTAAGTACGCACACCGATCGGCCATAATCGCACACACGGTACTCTGTTCTTTGGCCACATCTCAGACCAGTCCGATTTTGGGAGCTTGACCCAGGCAGGCCGTAAACGCGTGTGTGAATCATGCCAAAGACGCGTTTATAAATCAGGTCATAGGCACGTCGGAATGTGTGATTCGTTTTTGATGTTCTCTTAATAAGCAGCGTATTATTTATTTTCAAACAGCCATTATTGCTGCAGTCACACAGTTGATGGCCTGTTCTGTGAGCACCAAGCGAGTTCCTGTGCTTGCCTCCTTACACGATAAATAGCATGTTATAAAATATCCCCCTGCCATCTAAACGGACGATATTTCGATGTTTGAGATTGTGATACATACACAAATAAACAAACACAATTATGGCAAATTTCACTAGTTCAGGAGAGCATTAAAGGTACTATCGCAAACAATTAGGCATGCGCAATTTAGGCCATTCACCCTACCGCCGTGAGATGCCCGGCGTTCGAGCAACTAAGCGGCTTTGGGGAGACAGCAACGACGAACGCTAGGAGTAGCTTATTTTTGAAGCACTTACATTAGAATGCCAGCGTAAAGACTGCAAAGAAGTTAAATCTCAACATCCTGAAACTTATATTACATTAAAGTCGAACATGAAAAGCCATGTTAATTGTCCCCATGCATGCACTGTTTCTGATTTCGCTCGAGGCTAAATGGCTCGTCGAATTTGTTTATTTTCTCGCTCTTACTTCTCTTTATAGGCTTAAGATTAGACGGTCAGTTGGTAATGCAGCTTCAGGACTATTCAGGAGTTGAAAAACCAGGCAATAGTACAATCCTCTGCTTGAGAGTCCTACCCTGTGCCACCCTCCGTTTACCATCCGCCAATAAGCGTCGGTTAATGGGCCTTACACGTGCAAAGAGCCGGCTAGGTGGTTGTTGCAGACACTCCGGCGGAGCCCAAGCCAGCTCAGCGGTAGGGCATTATCACGGCCTGCGGCTGCAGCACGCCACCTCTGGATCAAGTGATGGGTGGGGAAAGTGGAGCGCACGGCTCCGATTTGTATGGCAAGCCGTTGGTCACCTATGGCTCTTATTGTAACGTTCAGGCAAATCCGTCAACGTTTGAACTCCAAAAATCAAGCGGCAACACCACCTGCGCCATGTTGCCACAAAATCAGGTGTTTTTTGAGACTCGAACCGTCCGTGTCTGTTCATCGTCACCTGCCGATCAACTAAAGGCACTGACCATCCGTTCGTCTAGAAAACTAGCGGTGGAAGCTAGTAGTGCCACCTATTGGTCAGCGGTGTTGTAAAACGACGCTAGCATCACCTTCACTCATTCGCTACAGTTGCATCATGTGCAGACGGTGGTACCATCACTTCTAGAGGTAGGATTCCGTTCGCCCAATCCTCCCCCCGCCCCCCCCCCCCCCCCCCCCCCCCCACCCATCATTCAGAAGTCTGTGCCACTCATACGCTACCTTTTCCTAATCGGTTGTACCCACCGTTTACAAGCCCACTTGTATTTTCCAGCACTTAGCCTTGATTGTGGTAAAATGCAGGCGGCACCACCAGATGGCGGCGCCGCTACAGTAAGCGGGCACCGCCGCCGTAGACGACGCCGTCGTCGTGGGCAGCGCCACCACCGTAAACGGCGCCATCAGCATCAACGGCGGCGTCACTGAACATGCGTCTGCCGCGCGCTTCGCTAGATGGCACCGTACCCTTTGTGTTGTAAAATTTGATCGTCATTTGATCGTGTCAACTCCGCCTGCTGTACCTGCAATCATTTCCTGCCATTTAATTTGCTTCTTTACACCGACAGAAGTAACTCCATCATTAAAACTCTTCCATTTGGCGAATTGCTTCGTGATGTCTTGCATGTTTTTCCTCTACGGCAACAGGTCAGCTCTGCCTTGTTCCGCTTTCTCTCACACTGCAGCGCGCGCCGCGGTCAGCCGGCGGTTATGAGATTCACTGATCCAGTGAATGGCGAATGTACCTTTGCCCCGAAGTGACGTGTGAAGTGTTAGTGTCCACGCAAAATAAATTACACCACAGGAGGGTGTTTTCTAGCTCATTGTTTCGTGTGTAAATAGGAAGAAACAGGCGTGTTCCTTTGACATTCAGGCTGTTTCAGGTCAGACACATTCAGGCTATTTGATTCTTGTGAATGCTCAGTTTAACACTACTTTAAAGTCTTCATCGGAAAAATATCGTTTTATTACTAGTACGTTCTTTAACATTTATTGCCTTTGTTCGTCTTCATAAATGTAATATATACTCACTCTTACAAAATGGAACGCACATCATACGACCACATTCACACCGCCGCGCGCATTACCACATCCCGGACATGTTTGGAGGCACATGAAATGCATCTAACGTTCGTGTAAGCGATCATGGAATATAGCCGCATCATAGACCATTTCTGGAATCGAGCACTTTTGTCACCGATCACACGTTTCCACAGCTTGCGATGCAATTGTTTCTAACCCATCCTTGTGCATGTATGGACTCCAGCCTGTTGGGAAGACCTCTGTTCGCATCGCAGCACGTTAGTCCCGGGTGATGGCGAGCTCACCCCTGGTCTTCCTTCGCTCCAGCAACACGTTAGTCCCGGGTGATGGTGAGCTCACCCTTGGTCTTCCTTCGCTCCAGCAGCACGTTAGTCCCGGGTGATGGTGAGCTCACCCTTGGTCTTCCTTCGCTCCAGCATCTCGACGGCCAGGTAGCCCAACATGCCGGTCGTCAGCACAAACAGCAGAATGTACAGCTTTGCGTCGATGCACAGGTAGTTGGCAATGGCGAAGGAGATGGCGAAGCCAAGTGACTCCCAGAGCCGGTAGTTGCTGAAGGCGGCCTCGGCCGTGTTGGGGAAGATAACGCCATACAGGGCGTTGATCTGCGTCTGCCAGACGGCGTCCGCCACGCCCCAGAGGGCGGCCAGGATGAAGAACACGTACGGCTCGTCGGGCCTAGGCTTCCAGTGGATGAAGGTGATGATCACGCCGTAGTTGATGAGCGCGCCCAGCGCGAAGATGGGCACGCGGCCCACGCGCTTGATGACGAAACCGAAGCTGAAGGAGCAGATGGCGTCGCACACGCCGTAGGTGATCATCACGAAGCCGACCCGGTGGATGCCCCAGGCGCACGACACGTAGGCCTGACAGGAGTGACTCTCGTTAGATGGACGCTTCGTCTGAGGCCGGCTCTCACCTCAGCTACGAATGGATGGTGGTACGCGTCGATCTTCGGTGAGCGTAAGGTCAGTCTGCTCGAGTGTACAGATACGTCGATGACACCGACACAGTCTCCGACAGACCTGTACTGCGACATCCAATGCAAGACGCAGCGCACTGACACATGAGCAATAATTCGGTTGCAGAAATCCACTCGAACAGGTAGATGACTGCCGTCGTTCATGAGTGGGTTTTCAATGGTTGCGTCGCATGGTGTACAATCTAGCAATGAAACAGCTACAGGGCTAACCATTGAAAACGCGCGGAATGTGCAACAGCAATTGCCGACACTGCCCGCCCGCAGTGTTGCAATTTCGCACGTCTGCAGCGTTGCACATAATAAGCCTCATACCTTGGTAAAGTCGGCAGTGAAGAAGCCCTGTTCAAATCCGGACCAAAGCGTGAGAGGGATGATCAACAGCTGGTACTTTTTTCTCAAGTGGTAGAAGGTGGCCAGCAGGAGCTGCACCGGAGTCTTGTTCTCCTTGTTGTTGCCACGATCATCCTCGCCGTATCTGTGGAAGAATGGCTGTGCGTTGTGGCTTTGGCTGCTCTGATATGCAATAAGCCACGAATTTTGGGTCAGCATGAAGCAGTGCTCGAGGGCATTGCTACTGTTTGCTGGCGAAAGGTCGTGGCGCAATCATCGTCTTTGTCCACTTGTTCACCATCCATCCATCTCTGCGGACTATCTGCCGTCCATCCATCTCTGGGTGTGGCACCACCTCTGCAGACCGCCAAACATCCACCCATCCCTGCAGACTGTCCACGATTCTCCCACCTCTGCGGATCGTACATCGTCCAACCACCTCTGAAGACTGCCTATCCACCTCTGCAGGCTATCTGATGCTCCCCCCCCCCCCCCCCCCGGGAACTGTTCGCCGCCTACCCACCTCCGAAGACTGTCCACAAACACGGCGATCAGGATGCTGGAGGCCACTGCGAGGCCCAGGAAAATTCCGGCCAGAGTGAAGATCTTGGTCGTGGAAGGACGCTGCAGGTTCGTGTTGTTGCTTGCAATCTGCCGGATGCACACACCACTGACGTCACACTTAGCCGGGCTAGGCCGCTGCACAGGTGATACACGGATGCCACACCACACAGCCATACAGCGGGTTTTCTCCAGTGGACACCGGACCGTTCCGGCTACTGTCAAACCACGTGTGAACACTCGCACCCCACAAGCCCTTGGGAGCTGACATAGCGCGCTGGTAGCGTGCTGCTTGGGAAGAAGTGGCGCAGCTTGGGAAAAGGGTGCAGCCTGGGAAGAAGGGCCTTGCATATCCATGTCAGTGACGATGTGCTCAGCGGCCGGGACAATGGCGATGCATGACTGTATCGGAGCCCACAGTCAGCGTGCATTGAGCATGATGTTCACGCGGGCACGCGGCGAAGAAATACGTGCCCACGTGGCCGGCTGACCGAGCGCTACAGGGGTTCCTTTTCAGTAAGAGAGGTTCGATCTCCCCGACATGCTGGCACAGCCCTTCCATAATCCCTTAACTACTTTACCTTGGTCACTTACACTTTGGCAGCCCTCTCGTGGAACATACGAGCGATACGAACAAAACAATTTATGGAATTCTGCCTTGATTTTTTTCAGATACCAGAACGAAGTGGCCCTAATCCGAACAGAAGCATGGCTTGGTGATAATTCCAAAGACGCACACAAAAGGCTTTCAAGAAAAGGTCACGCACCACACCCGTTTTTGCGAAACGCACATTTGGTCGTCAAGAACTGGTCAAGAATCTACTGCTAGGCAAAAGCAAGAACTTGCCGGTCGGAAAAACCCCTAATATCAACCCTAAGTTGATCTACAGGAAGGTTTTTTGGATTATTTCCCAAATTGGCAACGTAATGGAACGCACATATTATGGAGACGAAAGAAAAATATAAATACCAAACCAACTATATCTCCGTTCTCCTGGTTTTTCTCCGAAGAATGAGGCTAATACTACTGCCTTATCTACAAGATGAAGACCTTTGAATTCCTGCAGGCGACATGCTGCACGCATCGATGATGGTGCACCCTGCCGACATCTGTCTAGTCCGTGTTACGTGCCTGTAGCCTGAATGTCTCACTGCGCTGCAAAACGATAGCGGACTGCGACGGTTTCTCGCCGACATACATGGCTTCTACAAACGCCGATAAATGCTCCAGCGACCATGACTGCAACGCTATTTTCAGCAGCTAACATGATCATGAGCAGTTCCCGGGCCATGGATCGTGATAATTTCTGGATCTGTGACCTTAGGATCCGGTTGTACAGCGGAGCGCATGATTGCAGCTGAGAATCGCACAATGTCCATGTGCCAGCCAGCGTCTCCCCATCACTGGAGCCCTGGTGTGCTAACCAACGTCGCGCACCCCTGGAGCCCTGGTGTGGCTACAGAGCCGGCCTGCCTACCCCAACTCTAGGAGAGCACCCCCCAACCCCTGGAGCCCTGGTGTGGCTACAGAGCCGGCCCGCCCATCCCTGCTCTGGGACAGCGTCCCTCACCCCCTGGAGCCTTAGCGTGGCTACAGAGTCGGCCCGCCCACCTCAACTCTAGGACAGCGCCCCCCATCCCCCGGAGCCCTGGTGTGGCTACAGAGTCGGCCCGCCTACCTCTACGCCGGGACAGTAATTTATACCGCAGATGGCCAGGCTATCCTCAGACGGCGAGCTCGCTCCTTCGCCCAGACCTGGGCTCAGCACTGAAAAGGAGGTCGGTTGTCAGGCGATTAGAGCACGGGCTGATCGGTCACCGCCACGACAGGTCAGGTTTCGGCCAAACTAATGCTGGAAAAGGTTGGGCATCCGCCGCTGAGGACGGTTGGGTCCAGCGTCTTTCGTGGATGCGATCCATCAATCGCCTCTCATATATCAGCCTTGGATTCTGCAATAATTCTTTGCGGTTGACTCTCGGGTGAATGCACCGCCCCGACATCAAAATATTATCCAAACACAAATTGAAGACTGTCATTTTGCTGTTATAGAAAGCCAGAATATGGCGGTGGGCACTGCTGGTGGTGCATAGAGCTGGATCACGTGGGATCTCATTCGCATGGCACGATTGTGGTTATTCTGGATTTTGCACACGATTCGGCCGGAGTGTCGCAGGCAATCTTTCAATACAAATGACCTTCACCTATCTTTGGTACAGCTGGGACCGGTTGTAATTCTGACAGGGATGTGGGGGCTCAAGAGCTTCCTGGAACCCATGCCCAAAGGTATGCAATGTAAATAATTCAGGTAGCTTGCAGTTCGATGAGTTTATGTCGCGCGTGGTACATCCAATTTTACAGACGCCATTCTTACCCAAAGATGATATCAGGTTTCCCCAAATCTGGGACGACTGGAAGAGCAGGAAGAATATGCCAAAGAACTTGACAATGACCGGCTCAGACGCGTCTTGAATGATTTCGGCATACAGCTTGCCGACCTGACGGGGAAACGAGAACGATCATCTGCCATTCGCATGCTTGTTTCGCGACGAGTGAGCAACGACAAAACAGCATGCGGTAGTTGCCCGAGGTGAGTTGTGGCCGCTGACCTGCGTCAGGTAGGTGCACTTGGCCGACCACATGGGCGCCGCGCCGAAGCCCAGGATGATGGCTGCCGGGATCAGCGTGTACTTCCGCGGGTGGAACTGGGCGAGCATGTAGAGCGAGTAGCAGAAGGTGCAGACCACCATGGCCCACTTGCAGGTGAGGCGCTTGATGATCAGTGATGGCATGAACATACAGGAGGCGATCAGGGCCCCGTAGATGGTGGCCAAGCTAGCCGTGCCGAGACCTGCCAGATAGTTACAGATCATGTTTTAGGGGTATAGATGGCGTCCTGTCACTCGACCGCAGAATGTTGTTCAAACAAGCGCTGTGTGCCGAGTGGGATTCAGCCTACCCAAAAACTCTTGCTAAATTTGTCTTTCAACCCGGATTCAAAGTTCCTCCTCTGAAAATTTCATTTTTGATGATAAAATGAAAAGTGAAATTTGCCCCTTTGTCCGGGGACTTTTTACTTTGTTAGGTAAGGGTGCCTTAACGCCATTTGAAAATGTGCTGCCATATTTATGAGCAAGAGCTCGTGAGGCTGTTCAGGACTGGGAACTCAGAGGTGCATGAAAGCTGCTAATCGGATGGAGTATGACTTGAGCACTTTTCAAAGCGGGTGGACCTGAATAACAGTCAGCAAGCCCTATTTTCAGGGAGAGCATCCGAAAAAATATTGTGCAAGGCCAAATCAACAGTCGAAATGGTGTCGATCCGGGGCATCCCAATAACACCCTTAAATGTTCCTGAATTTCGCAAGGATACGCCTGAAAACATGAATATGTGAGAGCTGACGACTATTTGAGCCTGGATCCTTCCAACAAATTAGCAAAGTACAGCAGACGCATGGGACAGTGTCGGCTCGAGACTGACAAGGAATGGGTTACACGTCGGCTCTGGACGGGCGGTCAGTGGCCCTGCGTGGGCCATCCCGCACCAGGCCTGCGGTGCTTTGCTCCTCGGCGACAAGTGCCGTGAGGATCGACAAAACAAAGAAAATGAGGCGTTGGCTACGTAAAGGCCAGCCTTAATGGGACCGATGCTTGGTCATCAGTGATTATTGGCGGCATAATGTGGATGGCCCAACCGCCCGGCATCGTCGGCGGTCCTCCCCGGACCATTATCCCGGGGTCACCAGGTCAAGACCGGTGCCTTCAGCCCCAGCCGCACATAGACAGGCAATGAGCCAGACAGTATGGAGGGATGGCCCATGTTGTTCTGTACAAAAGCGTGTTGGTACACGTTTTTGAGAAATACCGGCATGAGGAAAGTCATGAATGAGAGCGTCTGCGAAGTCATGAATGAGAGCGTCCGCAGAGTCATGAATGAGAGCGTCTGCAAAGTTATGAATGAGAGCGTCTGCGAAGTCATGAATGAGAGCGTCTGCAAAGTTATGAATGAGAGCGTCTGCGAAGTCATGAATGAAAGCGTCTGCAAAGTCGAGACATCGAGAATCGTCGCTTCATATCCGAAATTTTCTCTAATCGGTACGATGTCGCAATGGAGTAGGCTGAATGACGCTATCCAGACCGCAGTTTATAAATGAATAGAGCTAATTGAAACCTTGTTCTTTAAGTCTCGTCTTCTTTCTGTCACTTTTTTAGACGCTGTTACCCCCATGGCTCAGAGACATTTCTACTGCTTTGTTTTTTCTTTCCATGCGTCCGTTTAGCGCTAATGTTAAAGTTTCCAAAATGTTGGAGTTAGGGGCCGACGGCCAATTAAGGCTATGACGCAAAATAACAATACGATTACATAGCGCAGCGGCATCATGGACCCCGCGCCTATGTTTGGGAGTACCACAAGTGCTCCATTATCTGAATGTACCGCTACCCTACCATAGGGCTCCACATTGGGAACGAACGACACAACTGTAGCGGCGAAAGACTTCAGAAGTCTTGCCTATAAGTCTAAAGATTTTTGTTTTCCCCCAAAACCAACTTTAAAATGGACCAAAAGGTGACTGCACAGCTTCCCACCTGTGCAACAGGAATGTTACGGTGGGCCAACCTAAGTCATGCACAAGTCGGCACGCCACGTTTCGATGCGGTTGATATGCTCAGACCGCGTTAATGCGTCAGTCAGTGGAGCATCGAGGCGCCATCGCCTGGTTATGGTCAGCATTCTGCACACTATGAACAGTACATCGCAAGCCTGTCGCGAAAACTGGTGCAAGAGTTGAGCATTCTGCGATGCTGGTAGCATCAGTTGCGATAGTCAACACAGAGGCCTACAGATCACCATACCGGCAGCGTAGTTTCGCAAAATACGTCGGGGGACTGAATAGTGGAAAATCATGAAAACTTTCCTAAGCCGATAGGTTTCACCGACAAACCGGCTTCTATCTATATTCGGCACACTTCTCTAAAAGGGGGGGGGGGGGTGAAGTCTTCCCCAACTGAATAGAAGGCCACGCCCCCACACCATACGTCCACATGTACATGAGCAGGATGTCTTGCATTGCTTCCTCAGAACGTAGCACTACAGACCATGAGCGCTGCCCACCCCCTGCATACTTTGTCCTCCCTGCCGTCCCAGCGTCCCACGTTGCCTTCATGGCGTCTAACTCCGGTCCTGATGGCCTGTGACCTCCGTTCAGCGCGGTGTCTTACCCTCCTCGGAGTTGATGGAGCTCTGCAGGTTGGACATGCTCTGGAAGGCCGTGAATAGGCACATGAACGAGAACGAGATGGCCACCACGTTTTTTATGATCCGCCAGCGCTCCCGTTTGCTCATGGGGACGGTGACGGTGGTGTCCGGCTGGCTTTCCGGGTCACTCGGGTCATGGCCGTTTCTCTTCGACTCGGCGATTTTCGGCTCCGGCTCCTCCTTTTTTTCACCCGTGTAGGCCGAGTTGTCGTACTGGAAGTCATTGCCGCGACCCATGGCGTTGGCCTGGTGATGAACAGCGCGGGTGGCCTCAGAACGCCTCTGAAACGGCGAGACGGGGACGCAGTTAGGACCCACTACCCACCGCCCTGTGTGAAGAACTGACCACTGTGAAGACTGAGTGTCTAAGAAAATGCAGACGGTCCGCTGAAAACTGGCCCAAACATCAGGTGACGGCCCACCTACTGTACATCGTGATTACTTCCCTCCACTTAATATATATATATATATATATATATATATATATATATATATATATATATATATATATGAATTACTTTGCTTAATTTCTCGCGTATCTTTGCCGGTTTTTGCGTCCAATACTCTTTGCGAAGCCAGAGACATAGGGACAGCATGACCTCCGGACAAGTGAAGGAGCCTGTCTCTGCTTAAGTCGATTCTCTCCACTCAGCATCATATGGCTAATGTTAAACACTCACTGTCCTGGCATCTGCTTACTGTCTCCCTGTTCTGATCCCTATGAATAAAGCACAGGACTGCCAAACATTTTTGCTCGCACAGCTACCCACCCGTTTAAATGCATTTAACACAGCCTCAGGTGCTTAGATGAGAATCAAGGTACGCGACGCTGGCAGCTTTGTCAGTTTGGGATCTCAGTAACGGGATGAGACCACGAGACCACTCAGCGGCATACGCTGCGCTCAAGCGAACATCCCTGAAACGCTCTGATCATTTGATCACCGATCGCTCTGAAGCCCTTACTCCGTCCAACCGACTGATATTAATGTTGTTCAGGCGCTGCACGTAGGTCAGCCGTTCAGCCCCAGAGAAATCCAGTGACCATTCCTCCCATCAAGACAGCTTGGCGGGAGTATCAAGAGGACCGCTCGGGGCAGGGGTTGAGATCAACGGTGCAAAAGAGGATCAGGTTTTCGTCGAACAGAGACACAGCCAGGATGTGAAGTAAGTGGGACGTCTTTCACTCATCCTCACGATCCTGCTTTCTCTCTATCCTTCTGACAAAGGACGTCTGTTTGCTTCTCCGCGCCCACATTCGAGCACAGCACATGTAGTCTGCCGAGTCGCCAGAGTGTGCGTTCGCCTGGGCACCAGGTGGATGCCGCGACGAGGATGGAGGAGGGGGGGGGGGGGGCATGGCACGAGACAGGACGTCAACGACGTGTTCGAGTGGAGCGAGCGTCGCTGTGACCCGGAGCCGGCCCGACAGCGCCGGTCAGACCGGCCGGTAGCAGGCCTCCTCCTCTACTGGCAACGACGTGCTCGAGCGGAGCGGACGTCGCTGTGACCCGGAGCCGGCCCGACAGCGCCGGTCAAACTGCCTGTCAGCAGGCTACTGCTGGCGGGCGGTCTGACCGGCGCTGTCGGGCCGGCTCCGGGCCGACCCTCCTCCTCTACTGGCAACGACACAGCGTGCACGACCGACGATATCCGACGGCACTGTCAGGGTACACTGGCCTCGCTCGTCGCACGCTGTCTGACCGACCCTCTCGCTGGTCACAAACAAACAACAGAAGAACAAAGCGTGATGACTCGGCGTTCCCCTGCCTACCACATTAAGGCAATCATCTGAAAGAACTCAGCGGGCAAAGGGAGATAAAGCCGGAGCACTGGTAACTGCGCCGGTTCGGAGGCCCACACGAAGGTATCATCATGACCACAGAAATGAACGGTAGGCTCTTTGGGGCCTAAAGGGTGTGATCCGTGGCGGACTGGGCTCAGAATCTTGGGCTGCTTTTTAGTTCGCTCGGCGCACGTATCCGCTCGGATCAGCCAGGGTAATAAACTGACCCTTTGAGCCTCTATCACAACCAACAGCAAGGGAACCTCTCTCAATAACGGCGGACAACGTCGCGGGCTATCTGAAACAACGTAGGGTAAAAAGCTGCTGTTTTTGACATTTTATTGGGAACACCGTACTGCAGAACCCCCACCCCCTCACGCCTACACCTCACACCCGAATTTCCATAATAGTCTGCTGGCGAACCGGGTCGGCTCGTCATGCATTACATACTTTATTAACTATTGTCATTTACTGAGCGACTGCATTTGCAAGGCCGCCTGCAACGGATCACTTGAACAGGATGGCTCAAATAGCATCGCTTTAGCCTTGGTATGGACAGCTGAACATATCTTTACGACACATCGAGGCTGAACATTTAGCCCGAGAACGCCTACGGCATGGCATGTTTGCAGGGAACACATCCGTTCTGAAGCGAGCAAACCATATTCACGCTAATTTTCTGCTCCACGCGCACTCTGATCCCAATGTAGCTTATATGAGTAGACCAGATGGATGAGTGCAGGCGGTAGGAGCAGCAAAGTCGGGCCGGCCGGTAGGGTGGGTAAGGTGGGGGCGTTGGGTGGGTGGGCCGAGCATCCGGCGGGACGGACCAAACAGCACTGCGCCCGTCTGGCAGGCAATGATTGCATCCATGCTCACACTGCGCTGCGCTACCACACGTCATACTGCATCACACATACCACACTGCGCTGCGCTACCACACACCATACTGCATCACACATACCACAATGCGCTGCGCTACCATACACCATACTGAATCACGCATACCACACTACGCTGCGCCATCATACACCATACTGCATCATACATACCACACTGCGCTGCGCTACTACTACTACACCACACTGCATCACATATTACACAGAGCTGCGTTCCCATACACCATACTGCATCACATATTACACGGCGCTACGCTACCATACGCCATACTGCATTAAACATACCAGACTACGCTGCGCTTCCATAAGCCATACTGCATCACATATTACACTGCGCTGCGCTACCATGCACCCTACTGCATCACACATTACACAGCGCTGCACTACCATACGCCATACTGCATCACATATTACACAGCGCTGCGCTGCCATACCCCATACAGCATCACATATTACACAGCGCTGTGCTACCATACGTGCTACCATGCCATACGCCATACTACATCACATATTACACAGCGCTGTGCACTGCGCGACTTTACGGCGAGTTCCCATTTATCTGTTGATGGGTTTGATGTCTATGTTAATTACGGTTCAGAGAACTGAGATCTTTAACGAATCAAAGTTAGCATGCAGCTAAAATTACAAGGAACGTTACCATAATGGTAGTGCCAAAAATTTAAGTCTTTATCTTCTCACCACATAAAGCGTGATATTTGCTACACAACGCATGGTTCTGATGAACAAATGCGATATGGGCGAAGGGTCGTCGCCGTTTTACTCGTGCATTTCTGTCATCCCGTCATTTTCTGACATCAGCGCACCAAAGAGAAAAGCGACTGAACATAAACGCTCAAGAACTTTGCCCCTAGTTTTTGTCCTAGTCCCTATATGTTTTACCATGGATGGCTCCTGACATAAATTTAAAACCAATTGCGGTACATTTTTACTGAGCTCCCCTCTTATTCTCTCCCTAAGTAAATCCTGGCTGATACCCTGGATGCGCAGCGTATTGAGTTATGAGGTAGCTAGTGCGACTTCTCCACAGTGGCGCTGACTACCGCCAAATCATGTAAAGAGGAGATAACCCGATGTCAATGCTTGGATCGGATTAGAGCAAATGGAAATTGTCCCCTCGCATCCATTTCATATGCACTCAGAGTGGATTTCTGGTGAATGACGCACTGGTGAATGATGCAATCGTGCCGTGCACACCAGCGCGTGATGCCGGGGTCTGACTGGCGCGTGGCTCAGGAGATATAAAAGTTCCTGCACCTTCACATTCCAGCCGCACTTTCCCCATCGTCCTCTGCAGGCCCCGGCTAGCGTGTTTGCCACATTGTCCTCTGCAGGCCCCGGCTAGCGTGTTTGCCACGTCGGCATTCCAGACCCCGGCTAGCATGTTTGCCACGTCGTCCTCTGCAGGCCCCGGCTAGCGTGTTTGCCACGTCGGCATTCCAGGCCCCGGCTAGCGTGTTTGCCACGTCGTCCTCTGCAGGCCCCGGCTAGCATGTTTGCCACGTCGTCCTCTGCAGGTCCCGGCTAGCGTGTTTGCCACGTCAGCATTCCGGGCGTTGCTTCAGACAGAATAAGTACGAGTATGGCTCGTCATTGCCACGGCATTTAATCATAGTCCGGCCATCTTTCAGGAGTGCAAAAACATCAGAAAACCCGTCCACAAAAAGGCTTGTGGAATCTCTTGCACCACGTGCCAAAGTGCACCACTCTGTACTGTGCTGTCGCACCTTTCGTGGATTTCCGATGGGCTCAGGAGTCCAAACTAATCTAGGAAATCCCGGATCTCCCTAAGGCGATGCGTCTGCGCCCCCCCCCCCCCTCTCCCTCCCCCTCGGGCTACACAAGGGGATTGGCTTGCCTCCACATGGTCCACCGACCTCATACACCAAAAATTTCCCTTCTGGTAGACTTAGAGAAGCACTGTTATATATGCCATATAATAATTTGCTTGGGCACTTTCACATTTATGGGGTGGGTGAGAGCTCTTGTGAAATGAGGCTTCCTCGAGGGAACTAGCTCATTTTGCTGGGTCCTGTAATAGGCCCCTAATGAGGCCCCTCCTCGCGCGGGGCCCCTGCGCAGGTCCCAACGAAGCTATGGCGCCATGAGCCAAGCCTCCAAGTATCATTGCTCTCCATCTGCCCTAAATAATTCCAAGTCGGTTTAAACTTGCCCCCTAAACGGGCACAGTGGCGTAAAGTTCACACAACAGTCAATGCACCGAATTGGAACCCCACATTTAAAGATGTACAAGCTTAACGCCTTGCATAGTGTATGCATACACCGCCTGTCCCCTGAGCTACACTTGGTAGACAAGGTTGCGCCATCTGATGCTCATGACATACGCACCCTGATTTTGCAGCCAGCCGACGCATCTATTCACCATTCCTGATTGATCTCTGCCCACCCGCACAAGCAGCCTCAGTATGCAGCGTTATCTGTGGATGGCCAGATGCTGGTCTTCTGCGTCTCTCAGTCCGCAGTCCACTGCCTTAATGACGATTGTGACTGGCACTGGCACCGCCCGCTCAACCGATCGCCGTGTCGGCAAGGTCGCCGCTTTGTCAGGACTGCATCTGTCA